AGGACAGCAAACTACCCACTACTTGTCAGATCAGGAACTTTTCATCATAGGGAAAGCAACAACTGCTCTAGAGCACAGTTTTATCATTATCACTTGTTCTTTATAGTTACAGAGCAGAACCGAGAGTCCTAGCTGACAAATCACTAGGCGTGATACAGACAGAAATTCAAAATTATGTAAGGGTAAAATCGACATTAAAATAGTATAATATATTGCACGTGACAGTTTTAATGTGTCGATTTCTAACAAGTCTGTTTTAAAGGCGAATAGAAGAAGAGAGACTGATGATGATGATATCATCAAGACTGAATTACAGTATAAAAAGTTGCTTAATGGGACTTTTTGCTTAACAGCACTATAGACTATAGCCTCAAAGGTGATGCTTACTGTGAGTTTAATGCCCTGGAATCAAATCTTCAATCCTTCAGAGCCTCAAATACCAATGGAAAATATTGATGATAGGAAGGCATCTTTTATTAATACAGGAATTGTGTATATTTGTTTTTAGAAATGATTGACTCAGTCTGCCAGTCTGTGATGCACTTAAGAAATTACAATGCCCTCGTAACAACAGTGTAATAGAATAGGGTTTGCAGGGTTTGCTCAGTGGCAGTGTAGCACATGGTTTTTGTGTTTTATGTGCACCTACTAAAAATAAACCATTTAAATGAAAAAAACAACAATCTGAGAGTCTGACAAAGACATTAATAGATGGTTAAACACCTTGAGTTGAACAAAATAAAGGCCAAAACGTAACAACTACATATTGGGTTGAAAATTCTTGTCTGTTAAAGATGTTATGTTATAGTAGCTGTAATAGATCCTTCTGTGGTTTTTCAGTAGTTCGTCATAAGGCAAACACTGTACAGTATGTTGGTCAGATGGTCTGAGCATCTGGCCATGGAGCTTCATGTTTTTAATGTGGATCCCATATGGTGCTCAAGTTCATGAAGTCCAATTAAGTGTCCTCGCACTTTAGGTAAAAAGCTGTTAATTATTTCAAAAGCTGCACTTTCTCCTTGAGTGATGTGTTACTCATTACTCACTGTCAAGCCATAGTGAGCATGCCAACAATTATGCGGACAGATTAGCAAATAGAAAGGGAGGCAGACAGAAGAGTAGCACAAAAAGAAAGTGTTTAGTCAGGTCCAGATAGACAGTTAGCAAGAAGACATCTTAGGGATTCAGGGGACAGTATATAGACAGACAGGTACGAAGACTGAATTGGGAATGGCGGTGGTAGTAGTAGTGGTGGAAATGTTGGAGAAAAAAGCTCCATATCCCTAGCACTTACGGAAATTGCTCCTTTGATCTTCAAATTATTTAACAGCGAATAAGAACCATTTTGACACACTGCCTTTTTTCAGGATTTATGTGAATGCATACAAAACATCAACAATAGCTCTACAGCTGCCCTCCTTTTCTAGAAAGAAGAAATCAATTCTACATAGATGGTAGTGTGTAGGGTAACTTTGTGTGTGTGCGTGTGTGTGTGTTTGTGTGTGTGTGTTCACATTCTATAAAAAGGACATCATTTGCTTTGAAGTCTCTTGTTTTCTGCCCTCTCCGCTACCCTCACTAAGCTGTCCCCTCTTTATTCTGTAATTCTGTATCCTTTGCTATCCACATCCTCCCTCTCTCCCCTTCCTCTCTCTTCTCTCCTCATTTCCTTACCTCCCACATCTCAATCTCTCCCACTCCTGCGCATGTCATCGTAATTTAAACATAGGCAGCTGCATGCCAGCAGAATATAATACCGCCACCACCAGTCATTTCCATCACCAACCTGATAATGTGAAGCTGGAAATATACAGCCTTGCATGGTCGATGACGAACAGATGTTGTGGAGGGAGCAGCACTGACATCCTGCATTAAATTAGTCATGTAATACCGCATTGCTATTCTCAATTATATTCTTATTTCAAACAAGAACAGTTTTGGAGAGTATGGAAGAATGACTTGAGTTTGGATTACACAGCTTGCTTATTTTGCTGCTTTTCCTGATTTGTTTTAAATTAATTTATGTCTTTAAGCTTGTTTGACGTTATAAATTATAGACGATACGAATGGACAGATAATTTTTTTCATGTTTGGAATAATGGTGATGTGTCTTGGCATCTAATTATGCATTTATTTTGTCTTCTGTGAACAGAAGCATAATTGGTTTGCAGATATGCTGACAATCGGTGCTTCTGTGTCATGTCAGCTCAGATTTGCAACAACAACCCCGATCGTCTAGGCAGCTGTTTTCAGTTCAGTATTTACAGTAACCCGATTCTTGTTGCTTTCCATTTCGTTTCCACTTATCTGACTGATTTAATTGATTAGCTGGCAAAAGACAAGTTAGTAGGATAGAAAACCAGTATAACCCTTGGTGTCGATGTACAGTGCAGGTACACAGGATAAGTGGTGATGGTGGTAGTGTCTCTCTCTTGCAGGTGGTCCATCTGGTGCAAAAGAGAATTACCTGTGTGATGTAGTTCCTCCCCTCAGCCAGCCACTTGATTAACCATTCAGGCACACAAATACACACACATACACACACATACACGCACGTACACACATATAATTTCCTGGGAGAGCATTTGTTTGCTTTCATTTGACGGTTTTGGAGGATCTGGCCGGCACAGATGTCTGCCTTGGCATGCAGAGAGTACCGCCAACATTGATTGGACCTGATCGGCAAGCGAAGGAGGGGGACAGCAAAAAAACATTGGAGAAAAAACAGAGAGGAAGATGTAGTCCTGCCCCATGCTGTTCTTTTTTTGTTTAAGAAATGGAGAAACTATCCAAAACCCAAGTAAGGTGGAATATGTAATGTTTCATTATTAATATAATCTGTAGGTGGGAAAAAAAAATAGCCTTAGTGGGAAATGCGCTCCTTAATCTGCTTTACAGAAATGTTTAGCAGGTTTAGTAGGTCACACCTGTCTCACCTGACATTGCCAATGCTGTCTAACTTTGTCACTTTATTAAAGCCTGGCGCTCATTAACAGACTGGACTTTGTGCCTGTGGAGTTACAGATGTGTATTCACATGTTGGCAGGGTCTCTCACCACCCTGCTGTGGCAAGGTCACCGCCACTGTTCCCGAGCACACAATTGTTTCTGGTACTAGTCCCATCTGCACAGGGACAGAGCTAGACTCTCAGCACAGAGGGGGCGGAGCATTTTCCAGGGGCCCTTCTGATAAAGTCATTTCAAAATTAAAAAAAATAAATAAAATTACAGATATATCCTATTAATAAACGATTGATTAATTAAATTATCACTTACTGAGCCAAACAAGCCAATGTCTAAGAAAAGATACAGTGAAGCCACTTTGTTAGACAAGCTTGTTCTGAACAACAACAACTGCAACAACAACATGAAGGTTTTTACAACGGGAAATTGTTTTTTACAACGTACATAATACATTAATGTTCATGTGACCTGGCCATTTCATGATTTAAGATTTTTACTGCATGCCAGCAACAAGGTGAACTAAGTTCTAACACAAAAGTGTATTGTGCATTATCTTTCTCTGTAGAAAGTTACAGGTTGCACCAATCACAAGGAATGTTTTTTAGTGTAACAAAACTAACTCAACAACAATGGAGCTTTCATCTCTTGGCTGGTTTCACTTTTGATTTACCTCATACTCGACATGTCAAGATTATGTATTGATTAGATTCGATTACTCTTGGTATATAAAGCAGGCATTTTACGCATTGGAATTTGGTTTTGGTGTGATATGTAAAGAACAGGTGAACCTCTCAAGGGCAGAAAGAGTGAATGACCAAATTACTCAATGTATGAATTTGTAGTTTGAGTGACCTTCCATTGCTATCAGTGTAGATGTTCTGGCTGACTTTACTCCTTTGTCTGATTTTATCTGAATATGATCTTCATTGCTGTGTTATGACCCCTCATAGAGGAATTCTTTGCAGTATTTATAAGGTGCATGTCAGATTACAGTAAGACAGTAAAGCCAGAGAGTTTTTATGCTGTAGTGCTGATCTACTGATGCGTTCAACTTGATGCAGTGCAGTGGCACTTTGTTTCCAGGTTTCCCCATGAGTGGTTGGGTGGTATTGAAGGGAAGCTGTGAGCCAGTGGTTTACTTTGGATATTAATATTAATAATGAACCTTATTTAGAGCCCTCTGCTGAGGAAGTAATCAATGTGTGTCATGCTGGGTCACTGATATCATTGAATGAATTGGAGGCAAACATATAACTCACTAGTGACAGATGAAAAGTGTTTTGTTTGCTGTATTGCGATATTAAATATTTGTTTCTCCTGTTGTCAACAGATCTCATGGAAAGACTTACAATGAATTGATACTATTAACAAGTATTGCTTGTGTTGCTTAATTCTCCATAGACGTCTATTGTTGTCCAAACACTATTAAAACACAACAGTAAGCCACACCATTGCATTAAGTGACATCTCTACAGACAGGGTAGGGAAGTCAGAAAGTATAGACGGATGGGTTAATCAACTGCTGGTTGATAAGTCCATCTTTTCAGAGGACTTGTTTGTAATGCAAAATTCAAAATGTTTGTCGTTGATGTAAACCAGTTACAAACTTTGCACCTTAATCCAGTACATTGCAGTCTACCACCTCAATGCTGCACAGGTCTTCCTTCTAGACTGAGGGCGGGATGCATTGGGGTGAAATCATCAACGCAAGGCATTACAAGACAAAAGGCAGAGAGGAATGTATCATCATATTGTCTGCATAAGAGAGGTCACTTACTGTAGAATTCAAGAGAACTAGTGGCGAGATAGCAGCAGCAGCTCCACAGCTCGCTCAGCCCATCCTCCCTGTGACAGTGCAGCGTTACGTGCTGCCTCTCCGCTTTGTCGTCAGAGCAGCCCCAGCCTCCCACCCGCACACAGCTCCTCTCCGCTCTGCACCAGAAAGGAGCATCCTTTTCTCTGCGCCCTCCCTCTCTTTCGTGTCCTCTCTCTCCTTTTCTCTCTCTCTCTCGCTCTCTCTCTCTCTCTCTCTCTTTCTCTCTCTCCCTCCCTCTCCCTCTCTCTGTCTCTCCGTCAGTCGGTGTGTCCTCAGAATGAGGTTAGCAGCACCAGTAGCAACAGCAGCAGTAGATCGAGACAGCAGAGCCACAGTCACTGCAGCAGCCAGGAGAGGCTGTTCTTCAGCTGTGCAGCATCTACCGCTGCATTCACCCCTGCCCTGAGAACGCAACACTCATCCTTGTGCTCTCTCTGTGTCTCTCCCTCCTCCTCCTTCACCTTCTTTGAATTCATCTCGTGAATTCGACTCTCTCTCTCTCTCTCTCTCTCTCTCTCTCTCTCTCTCTCTCTCTCCCCCTCTCTCTCTCTGTAGCAGTGATGGGGAAGACCACCATGTAGAGACAGAGAGGCAGCGGAGGCAACAGAATAGCAGCAATGGGAAGCCACACATGGAGCGGGTCTGGACTGCAGCCGTGGTGAGCCTGAGACTAACAGGACTTGCAACCACCATCATTGCCCTTCTCAGGACCTGACCACTGGGGCTGTCCAACGCTCACCTGGATGCTCCCCACTTGTGTTTCATCATCCCCTCCTCTCCTTGCTCTCTGCTGCTATTTCTCCTCTTCTGTTTCTTCTCTTTGATGGTTTTTAGTCTGCTGATATCTGACAGTCCTCTCCTGAAACAGAGAAGCTGCTCATTGATTTATCCCCTTGGATTTTTTTCCCCTTTTTAATCTCTCTGTCTGCCTACTTCACCTACAAGTGGCATTCTTTTTTTCCCCTTTTTTGGTTGTTGTTGCCTGCTTGATACCTATTTTGGAATTTTTTGGATGAGACTGAGCTCACCTCTCTCTTGTGCAAGCTTTTTGATTGATCTATAAGCAATAACAAACACTAATCTAACTGACTTGACTAGCTGACATCATGGGGGACATGTCCAACAGCGATTTTTATGCCAAGAACCAAAGAAACGAGGGCAACCATGCGGCAGGCTTCGGCTGCTCGGTCATGGATCTGCGCTCGTTGATGGAGCTGCGTGGCACAGAGGCGGTGGTCAAGCTCCAGGAGGACTACGGGGGCGTAGAGGGACTGTGCAAACGACTGAAAACCTCACCCACAGAAGGTGAGTCCCCATGCTTGTGTGTGTGTGTGTGTGTGTGTGTGTGTGTGTTTGTGTGTGCGTGTGTGCGTGCGCGTGTCTGTGGGTGTGTGCGTGAATATGTGTGCACTGGTGGGTTTTCTATGAAGGACTTAATCTTGAAGAATGTGTTCTGCTACTTAATATTGAGCTGCTCATGACATTGATGATAGATTTTCTGTTTGTTTGGATATTGATCATTATTAACTGGGTACACCTGCTTCATTTGATAAAAAAAAAAAAAACCTAATGGTAAAAGCACAGACATGCAGAAACCTTGTAAAGCACCTGGAGAAATGCGTAAGCACAGCATCGCAGCAGCAGACAGGGGAGGGAGTCCCGTTTGAGGGGGACTAATGAAAATTCTTCACAGCCAGCTAGTGTTAGACCTGTTTAGTATGCATAGAAATCTCTCCGGACAGTTTAGCCCCCTCACTCCCCCTCCCCCACACAAACACCCGCACCCCACCCGCCCACCTTCCCTTGTCATTCACCCATCCCGTCAGCCAATCAGCCGTAGCCTTATTAAGGAACAGGTCTCTGGGGCAACACGGTAGAGGTTTTGGCCACATTGAATGTGCTGTGGCGTCTGCAAATACGGACTGGGTATGAGTGGAATGAGAAAGCAAAAAACCAAACTCTATACCTGTTTCCGATGTATTTATTTTCTGTTTAGTTATAAACGCAGTAAATATTTCCTTTCTGCAGTACAAATGCTAAATTTCTACTTTTTTTTTTATCCTAACTAGCGCAGGTTAGTATGTACTTTTTCATTTTTCTGCACAGATATTCATTAAAAAAACAGGAAATACATCATAACACCATAACATATGGTGATGAAAGCCCATTCAATTATCACAGAATCCCTTTATATGCATTTTTTATCACATAGCAATTCAAATATGTGGTCATGCACTTATTTAAATGCGTCACCTCATACTCTGCCCATATATTGCATTAAAGTAGGATTTTTTTGTTGCTTCTTCCTTAACTAGAGCAACAGTAAAGCAGCAGTGCAGCAAGCAAATAAAACTGAACCTCTCTAGTGGCTACATATGTGTATTTAATATTCATAACAGCATTGAAATCATCCACCTACCCTGACGTTGGGATCATTGATCAGTATTCATGTAGTGTCACCTGTGTGACATCAGAGGTAACCTGTAACCTTATAGACCGATAGTCACAGAAGATTGTGTTTCCTGGTCTTGTCATCCAACAGCACTGCTGTCAGCTGGTGGTAAAACCTGCGGCAAGATAACAGCAGAGTAAATGAGATCAGTTCAAAAAAATCTTTCCAGTCACAGAGTTGAATAAAGATTAAAATAAAAGCACTGGTGAACACTGTCTGACACGGGATGAGATATATTTTGCTCATCACCATATTGGCAACATAGTGAAACAATGCCTGCAGTGATACAGCAATACTGAAATGAAACTGAATTTGGACTAGCAATAAAATTATCATAACAGATATAAAATTATAATTTAATTTTCCCATTCTCATGAGCATCCTGATTAGATACAAGAACATTACATTTTATCAGTGCGCTAAACACTAACGCAGGATCACAGCCTGCAGACTTGTAATAAAGCCAAAATTAAAATAATTGAACTTCTCAAATAGAAATAAGAATATTGTAATTATTAACATACTTTCTGTCACTGGTAATCTGATTTGTTGAATCTGTCATTTTGTCAGTGCTGTCTACAACACTTTCGCTGACACTAAGGGGATAGTACATTACGCACTTTATCTTAGAAGCAAAAGCAATAAATAGTACATGAACATTTTTTGTTATAGGCTGAGTCATAATATTACAGCTCATTAAGAACATTGAAAATTCTGGTATGAAATGTTTGCCAATGCATTTTCATATTTCAAAGTAAGACTTCAATGCTAAGACTCTCTGCGACAGTGTAAAATTACAGTTCTCCCTTCCTGTTTTGTCCTGTGGGTAAAACAATTATAAAAAGAGAAAAAAGAAGAAAGAAGAAAAGGAAAAGGGGAAAAAAAACATGGCTCTAAGGAGCAGTTCGAAATGCATGTAAATGCAATAACATGCCATCTGGATTGTTCAAAGCACTACAATCTCTAATGTGTGTGAGCCATTAATTATTTTCAAATTATTTTCAATGTATTTCATTTACGCAGCACTCACACATACACGTCAGAGGCTTCGACAGATGCTTCTCATTCACTTCGAATGGGGTGATGTCATGTCAAGCTGCATTGTGGTTCCATTGCTTGCGTTGCTTGTGGTAGAAGTTGAGAAAGGTTCAACTTTTCAAGTGGCAGCGCAGGCACCAACCAATAAATTCACGTTTATGCAAATATCCCAAGAGGGTGCAGGTGGCATTCAACCTCAAAATGGAGCAAAGGTTGATTATTGTGATGGGGAGTCACCTTGTTCTCTATGATCAGAGTTCATTTATTATTTAGGGACACAAACCAGAGTAATCAAGCCTGCAGAGAGGTGGCAGAGGCAGTTGGTGAATCTGGGATGTTTTCGTATGTTTGTAGAGTTTATTTCCAGTGTACGTCCCTTTAGCATTGCATGGACAGCTGATTAAGTTGTGTGTCCCAAGCGGGAAACTGTGATTGGTTGTTGTCACTATGACTATTGCACCAGCACCAAGCATCAGGCTTGCCCACCACAAAGCATTAACGCAACATGCAAGGGTGAGCGCTTTGTTACCGGATAAACTACATGTTGTGTGTCTCATGCAGTTTGGATAAACGAGGTGCTTCTTTATCATGTTTGTAAATCCATTGAACAAGCCGCTGTATTTTGGTTAAGATCTTAGTACTAACGAGCAGGAGGCCCCTCTTCTCTCTCATCACTATTAATTGTTATAATGAATTATTTTATCTCTCACTGGAACACTAAGTGGAAACTGAGTAATGGTATCTGGTGCATCTATTTGCATTAGTGATCCCAGGTGTTTCTATGTTTATGCTGTGTGGGTCCCCCTGTGTGCTGTGTGGTTGCTCCACAGAACATATGTTACCTCAGAAATATGATCATGGTAATTATCCTTGACGGTATTCTGTATTGCTTGCTGTCATCATGTGTGGTGTGTGTAATGTGTATGTGTCCCAGGGGCCTGCGTTTGATGGTAAGATGCCCTGAGCACAGTTGACCTACTAGCCCCGCATACTGTAGTCTATACCAGCCCTTTTACATGATACTAACAGTCCATGAATGGCTATACTCCATTATTCAGCATAAATGCGTAATGGCTCTTGACCGCATGCATTTATGTAGATGCACCAGGCACTAAGCTACTGCAGGATTGTTGCTACAGAACATGAAACTATAAAATCTAAATAAAAGGCACAATACTGGACCAACAGCCAGACATTTGAGACCCTGTTTATTTATTCATCTAATAAGGCATATAAGTTATGTATGCCTTAGGGTTAGAGTACACAGGGCTCACTGCATTTCTGAGCACAGGAGACACACTATGTACGTTTTTATTTTTATTTTTTTAAGAAAACAGCATAACACATACAGTGCAGGAGCCATGGTTTGGGGAAACATAACTCTGGTGTTATGACTAAACCTTTCAGGAATTAAAAGAAGTTTCCTTACTGTAGACATTATTATTTTCATTTTAAATTTTAATGACTCCACTGGATGTAGAATTTCCTAAATCCATAGAGGAGGAAGGTAATGGAATGAATTAAAATATGTAAACTAGGAGTCCTGTTATTCAAATCAGAATTGCTTAGAATACCTTGATGCATAGGTATGTTGATGATTAAATGAATGCTGATAAAGTAGCACATCTAATTCCGTAACATATCTGGATTCTTACCCTGCGGTTTTCCCAGTGGCCTGCTTCCTTGTACTCTATACCTGTACACAGGATGTAGTTACCTGTTGTTGCCTTGTAGGTGACTGTGGGGTGAAGAAGCTAGCGTTTCCCTCAGGCAGCCGGCAGGTGAAGGGCATGAGTCATTCTGGGGCCAGATGGGATGTCAGGGTACAGCTTAGTTTCCAAGAAGGGATGGCATGAAGCTGCTCGGGGTATGACCTGTTTCTTGGGAAATGGAAGAAAAGACAGTTGGTGGGTGCTCACAGTACAACTATTTTCTCAAGAGATCAGTAGAGAGCTGCAGCACATTGGTAAGTCCTCCTGGGCAGGGAGCAGGGAATTGTGAGAGTGCTTAGGGCATAGCCATTCCTCAAGCGTCGGGAAGATGAAGAGGTGCTCAGAGCATTGATAGTCTTTGATGTTGTGGGAATGGGAGGGTAGGAGGGTACTTAGCCCGACCTTGCGGAAGGGAAGAAATAAATATATATAATGTGGAAACCACATTATATACACGGACTCTGTCCACCCCACAAAACAGTGGCAAGCAGTTCAAGCAACTTAGATATGACTGCAAATTTAGATGCGATGACATTTTAGTGGAAATTAAGCACTGAATAATGTTAAAACGTGCATCACTACTGGTTACATTTTTTTGTATTACTGGAATATAATTTCTGGGAATGTTAACTGTAAACAGGTTGTTCTATTAATATCACGATCCAAATCGGAACACCCACCAGAGAAATTCAAAAAGATAGGCCTCATAACTGCCATAGTCACCTTTTCCCTAACTTCCAGTTCACCGTCTGCTGTACATCACTATGACTTGACACATGGAAATGTGTTATCTCATGCATGCGAAGGGGAGATAGTGCTAAATACTAATTAACAGAGCAGGAACTTTGAATGTGCAGAAGGAATTCAATCCAAGAGTAAAATGCAGCAGTTTTTCTTTTTAATAACTTATATCCAGCCTGGGAATAAGCCATTTTATTTCCAACCAACCAAGATCCCTCAATTTCATATCCTCACCCTCACCTCTTTTGCCTCTAATATTTTTCTTTTGCCCTCTACAATATCACCACACCTCATTTCAGTCTCCTTACTACCACCTTCTCCTCTCCATGTCTTATTGGCCCCCAGTTCCACGATTTGACTTT